CGACGTCTGCCTGGTGCGAGACGCCCCTGCACCCCCAGGTTGCATTTCACCGAGGGTATGCTGGTGATGGTACCGATGTCTCTGCCTTTGAATCGCGTATGTTGTGCATGTTGGTGTGCGTGTGCATCTGGATAGACAGAAGATTAGACGTGCCGGATCTTGGTAGGTGTAGACATCGCTCAGGGATGCCAGACTTTGCATGTGCTGATTCCAGTGAGGCCAGATTTCAGCATGCCGTTCAATGTCCCGAGCCCAGCCTTGCGATGAGATGAGAACACCTTCAAGACACAAAACAAGACTGCGCGTGGTTCAGGCTCCGTCTTCGTCTAGAACGGTGTCAAGGGAGTGCAGACGTTTCCTCTACCTGAGGTCATCGCCCTTTCCTCAACTGCAGTGGCCTCAGCGTTCACTGCAGCTGAAACATTTTGGCGAGGAGTTATCTGCAGGCAGTGACTTTCTTCTTTGGCTCCGTCTTCCGCATCACTGCGGCAGGCCGGCAGGCCCATTGGTGCACGGAGAGCTGGAGCCCTAAGTCCGAGACAGTCCGAGTCTCCCTGCATCGAATCCAAGCCTAGGTGGGAGCAAGAAGCGTGCTCTCCACCCCGTGCAGGCGACCGGACCGTGTTGCTCTGTTCAATGTCCCATTACTGTGGGCGTGGCTTCGCATGGTTTGGTTCTTGCGCAGTGCACCTCAAGGTGTATGCAAAGCAAGAAATGGCTGGCAGCCGTGCCCGTGACTCGCAAAAAGGTGCTGATCCTCTCCATCATTGCAGGGTGCGGCCTGCATCGTTGCACTAATGTATGGACATCTGAGATAGAAATGAGAAGAGTTTGATGCTCGATGAGTGATTCGTTCGCTTGAGATCCTCTGTAAGCAGCCTCGGGCGGGGCAGTCCTACTCAAGCCAGAAGAGTCTCCAATCCGCCAGGGCCGTTGCTCTGAACGCAGTGACTCCGGAGCAGCTTGCGCAGCTTCGGGCCGTGCTGCCCGAGGCAGGGGACAAGCAGAGAGAATAGATTGTTTGGGATTTGTGTTGCGGGTTGTTGTCTGTCTTCTCGCGAAGAAGGCAGTTGTGCAGCCCAAGAGCTTATGCACATCGTCTTTCGTGGAATTGTGACACTTGCCCTCAGCTAGTGAGATGGCACGACCGGAACCTTTCCCTTTTCCTCAAGGAGGTCGGATCTCCCGTTTGGGATTCAGCAAGCGCCGGTCAATTCACGGGCCAACAGCTCATATTACTGCGATAGGAAAGCAGCTGCCAGACTTCAGGCTGGTGGTTACGGGCCCGAGTTTTTCGGCTACGTGGTCGCGGCCAAGGACTGCACGAGTGCTCTAAGCTCTAAAGCTTCGGGAAGCCGCCTGAAGACGGCAGGACAAAGTGGACAGCATCCTCTCCAAGCGCTGACCCGGGGCTCCTTACACCGAGGTCGTACCATCGTGGAGCTAAGTCCTTCGAGCGCCCCCACGGCGGGAGTGCACTTCCTCGACGACGGGGCGGCCGACTCCGAAGAGCAGCAAAACTTGGCCGCAGAGAACAGCAAGACAAGCTGGCGGGTGGCATGGAGATGCGCGGCTGCATTGCCGGCAAGGGGGCGAAGCGGCGCGAGCGAGCGCAACCGGGAAAAAAGGCAGCCTCGTTTCTGCTCCCCGTGCTCCAGCCGAGTTTGAGTTGAAATCGGTTCTACTAAGATTCTGCTTACAATCTAACGAGAAGGCTTTCGCACAAAGAGTGACTGAAACAGAATGTTAACTTGCAGTTTTTTCGTCCAAAACCCTTTCCACGTAGAGTCGCTCTGGGTTTTGATTTGTCTTAATGTTGCGATTTGGCATCTGGCGACGCACTTCGACTGTTCCTCACAAGCTTTGCATTTGCTTAGTACAAAGGAAACAACCTGAAGTCCACAGCCAGTAAGCCAGAAAATTTGGAGGAAGTAATGGTACCCTGCACTGACGTGTTGGAGCTTGTACCTGCCATCAATCCGTTCTCCAAGCTTACAGTCGAGGTTGGACGCAACGCTGGTAGGATTGCCATCGCCATGATGTGGGGGAAGTCCCAGCTGCAGTGGCCAACGCTTCGACAATGAAGACTTAGGCCGGGAGTCTTAACGGTGGCCAGAATTAGCTTTCGTCTCCCTTTCGAAGCTCCACAGAACAAAACCCTTGTAAGGCAGCAGCCCCCTTGGAGCCTCTCTCTCTTTCCTCGGGTGCATGCGAGGGTCTCCAGGCGAAGGGATCCTGGGCACATGCTTAGGCTCAGGCTACTGTGTAGTATAGCAGTGATCTCATCAGGGACCCTTTCTGGAGTCCTTGGTGCTTCCGATGTCGAGGAGCACTACCTTAGCTGTAGGATTACCCGCAGAACAGGAACTCAACTCACGCACTACTCTTCGATCAGGTGTCGAGGTGAACCTCTGCAATGCCGACATTGCTGCAAGCTCCAGATGTCAGCAGGCAAGTCCAAACTGACTCTGTAACAAGAAAAGGACTCAGATAGCAGGTGCTTTGCAGTGTTCTGGAGCTCGCTTTGTTGCATCCTCCGGCATTGCAATTCAGGTGGAAGGTATTGACTAAACTGCTCTGAGCAAGCCCCTCCAAATTTTTGTCTCGCGCTTTCATTTGCAGATCTCCCCTGACGCGCTTGGACAATGTCTGCAAGGCCCCGCAGATGCCCGCCGTTCTTACAGCACTTGATAACTCCGGGAGACTCCTGGCCGATGCAAGGCCTTCATCGCAGAGGCCATGCAGGGAGGCCTGCGCCCGCGCCGTCGCGCAAAGAAAGAAAGGTGCAACGCCAAGAGTGGCACTAGGGGGTGTGTTGGAGAAGCGTGGGTCGCACGGGTCATGGAGAATCAAAGAACAACCAACATTTCAGATCCAGTTCCTTTGCGATAGAGGGCTGTGACGGGCTATGTCTAAAGATTTGAGAGCTTCTCGAGGTTTGAGGGTTCTCGCAATGTTCTTGAGCTCTGAGCACCTGCGAAAACAGCATATTCGCATATACTCGGCGTGCTTACCTCGCTCGAAAATATGATGTGCGACGAACAGAACTCGAGGCAAGGAGGCTGCGATTCCGATAACTTGGCTAGGGCATGATAAAGCGGTATGAAGCCCGAAGAGGATGTTATTATGATACTCATTAAGAAGGCCTTGGATTTCGAAACGTGGAGCCTCGAGCAGGCCAGGTGAATGGTGGTGCCTTGGGAACTTGGAGTGACTCAGGTCAAAATGGGTATGGGACTGGGGGGATGGCGATTTCTATGCAACAGTATTTCAAACTACGCATGCACCCGGCCGAGTCCACGTGCGTCGCTCTCACACTGACCACATTTCACACCGAACGTAAGACAGGGCCCGGTAGTGTTAGCGCATTGTTCGGGGACAGCGCAGAAGTCGATGGTGACCTTCGACGCAAGGATGCATGGCATTGCATATCACTGCATGCAGTATGCTGGAAATTCGTTTGTAGTGTGAGAACTGCAGGAAGCGCTTTCCTTTGCCGCCGCTTCCACGGGTCACCGCCCGGGCACAGCATCCACCATTTCTCGAACTGAGAGACCACAGAAAGCCGAGGCGCCATCTTTGCATCCTGAAACTATGGAGGCATGGGTGCACCTTCGCAGTGTGCCACAGGATGTCCTTGCAAAATCATGTGGTCGTGACGTTGAGACCCATTCAAGAATTGCAGTGTGCTAGTTTGCCTCAAGCCTGGCTGCTCGGCTGCTCGCATCCCTGCCAGGCCGATGAGATGTTAGGCCCAAGCGTCTCCGACGAAGATGCAGGCCGTCCCACCCCAGCAGCGGCAGTCAGTTTGCAGCGGCAAAGTACTTTTCGGCACACTATAAACGGTGCTGTCGTTGCTCTGCTCTGAGGCGTTGGCATGCAAGCGATTCAGCCGCAGGCTCAGATCTTTCCAGGTTTGAAAGCGTTTCGGACTGGAATCTGTCACCCTTGTCACACCCTCCGAAGTCCGGGGCCCCATGGAGTGTGTGAGGAGTAGGTCCTGATAGGCTGACTGTGACACAGCGCCATCTTGCCAACGAAGTGACATGAGCCCCTTGAGGTATGATGGTCTCTGGCGGTTTCCTCAGGCTTTTTTCAGAACCTGCAGAAGCCGCGGACGGTAGGCCGCAAAGAAGAAGCAATGTTGCTCAACACTACTTGATAGAACCATCTTGGACAAATCTCCGGTTCAATCCAAGAAACCTCGACAAGGGGTCCCGGGAAAGAAGACGTATGCGCGGTCCCAGTCCCAACATCTGTGCACCGAATCAGCTACTGCAAAGTTGCATCTGGGGTTTGGTAGGACTGCGTACAAATAAGGCTGAGCGTATACTCTGAATATGTGACAAGGATTCGACTAACGACAGCTCTGCACCATATACTCCAATTCCATGGGGTCACGAGTGATTTCTTATAAAGCTCGTACTTATCTGGATGGAGAAGCGGGTCTGGGACTGTCGAGAATCCTGAACGAAGGCAGGATCTACCGTGGGCAGAAGTCGTTACTGCAATCAGCAAGCACTAAACTTGGTAACCTTCGCAATAGCCTCAATAATTATGCCTGCAAGTTTCACCACCCCAAGCGCCCTATTGCCACGAGCCCCGGGCCCCATCTCCGAAACTGCACCACCTTGAACCCCGAAACTTCGAACATTGGGCCCTTGTTTGGTGAACCTTATTCATGGATACTACAGGCTGTTTTGACGCCTAAACACCCCCCGAATACCGAAACGGCTAGATACCCTGGGAACACAGAAACATATTGACATACATGCGGCGATATAGCTGATACACATAGTCGATTGTTTCCTTATCACGAACTGCAAGTCAGATGAAACAGTTGCTGCCAGAGCATAAACGTGCGCGCAAGCCTATGCGATGAGCTTGAAAAGGTGCTTTCCGATATACCACGTGCCGAAGGAAACACTGCATGAAACCCGAGGCCACGAACAGAACCAGGCTGCAGCAAATTTCCACCGTTGAGCTTACCATCCACCTGGATGCTGCTGAGTCTTGAGGCCGGCATTAAACGGAGTGCCTGCATGTTCACTCGACCCTACCCAGGCGACTGCTAGTCACGGTGCCAGTCATGACTCCGGAGACCCTAACCGATCTTCTTGGCAGTCCACCATATCGTCTCCGACCTTATACGGCACAAAACGCGGAGCACAGGTAGCATGCATGTGCGAACAGTGGGTGGGCAGCGTAGCCTGCAGCAGTACTAGCTGCATTGCAACTTCGTTGCAAGCATTGTGTCGACTGGCAAGATGTGAGAGCCTGAACCCTCTCATGAAGTCAGCAGGCCAATTGTTACCTAAAGCATGAAGTATCATGAATCTGTACCCAGCCTGTAAATGCCAGTGAGACCCCCGACAAGTTTTGCGTGGCCAGCTCCAACGCAGGCGTACACATCCCATGCAGGTCTCACGGACCATCATGGACCTGCATAACATCCCGCGCTGTCCACATGAAAATGCTCGGAGACAAATTGCAGGCGGATAAGATGATGCGGTCGACCTCGTCTTTCCACTCGGTGTGCAACTCAGCCAATCGCATGCAACCAAAGCTGCACATTAATGTCGGTAAGACGTTCCTCACGGATGTACTTGTGCTCGGTGTTTTGGCGATGTGCATGATGATAAGTGGTGCGTAGCCATAGCCGAAGCTTCTTCTGGTCTTTCCTTTCAACGTGTCTCCCTTGCAGCGATGTACGGCAGGTGAGCAGCCGCAGCATGCGAAGAAGCCAAATGCACTGTCCTCAGTCTCAGTGTTTTGAACCTGCCACCTCTCGCTGTCCATCTCTCCCTCTCCTGTCTCTCCCGTCCATGCCTGACTTCGTCTGCGCGTTCGCAGCTTCCTGTTTGTAGTTGCGCAATCGCGGGCTCTCAGTATTTCGCAACGACATAGCTTGAGTGCGTCAGGCATCAGACGAGCAAAGCAGTGTGGCGCCCAGAATTGACGATGGTCACATGTGCCCCAGTCCGGCCATGGCCGGTGTGTGCCAAACAAAAGCCGGCCCGGGATGGCTCGGAAACTCTAGCGAGCCAGGAGAAGTTCGACTCGTCGCAGACATCTGAGACCCGGGCGAAGGCGGACTTGTCGAACACTAAGCATCTTAATGCGTTTTTGATAGTGTCCCTCCCACGTTCTGGCACGGCTCTGAATGGCGCTGTTTTGGCAGGAGCAATCGGACGCCAAGCGCCCGGTAGCTCTCAGAATGAACTCTGAGAGCCCCGCGCTCAGGCATGCCCAGCCTCAGTCTTGTGCAGAGAATCGAAACAGAACACGTCAAGTTTCGTCCCTGTCGCGAGCAAGGGCGAGCCAGGCTCCACGACATGCCCAGTTGCCCCCATGGCTCTATCTCTGGCGGTTTGAATCACGGCCCACCCTATCTGAAGGCTCTGGGCATTCGGACCCGATTTAGTCTTCCCACATGCTGAGGTTTCATTGACGAAGAAGGCCCAGCCAGGGGCTCAAACTTGTGCTGTCCAGGGGGTCCGCAGACGCTCGCCGTGAAGAGTGCCCTTTCACAAACTATGCTGCGAGACCCCCTTGCCTTGCCAAGTGGCCCGCCTCCTCGTCCTCATTTACTGTCGCAAATCCTTCCTTGCACCGCTAAGAATCGTGACCTGAGCGGCGGCTCCGGCACCACCCCGGTGACGACGGGACCTCAGAAACTGCTGTTTCAGTTTTCCCCAAGTCGCATGCCTCCAGGTCACTCATATGGGTTCATGGCTCCATGTTGCGGTGCCTTTGGCGCGAGGCATGCGCAAGCATCCCAGCAGAGCGCAGAGAACTTTACGCCGCGGGGCCAGGCGCATCGTGCTCTAATGTCACTTCTGGGCCTCTTTACCTCATCCAAGAAACACTTATTGCAGGTAAAAGTACTCGCCCGAAGCTTTGTTGCTAGAGTCTTGCGTCAAGGGCCTTGGCCTAGGCAAACAGCCCTCCCAGAACTGGATCGTAGTGTATCAAGATCCCGAGGATCCTGGACAGACACAGCCTTGTTGACGTGAACCTTCGTGGCTGCGGATATACTATAAGAGACTATAATATATGAGTAAGATGACTACTGTGTATATGTATAACAATAATGATTGATAGTGACAGCAGCAGAAACAACAACTTCAACAACAGTAGTAGTAGTAGTAGTAGTAGTAGTAGTAGTAGTAGTAGTAGTAGTAGTAGTAGCAGTAGTAGCAGTAGTAGCAGTAGTAGCAGTAGTATTAGTAGTAGTAGTAGTAGCAGCAGCAGCAGCAGCAGTAGTAGTAGTAGTAGTAGTAGTAGTAGTAGTAGTAGTAGTAGTAGTACTAGTTATCATATGAATAAACAGGAAAGTTTACATATATGTAAATATATATATATATATATATATATCGCTTTCGCTTTCGAGGCAATGAATCCAGGTCGGATGCAGCCTATCAGACTTGCAAGTAATTAAAGAGTGAAACGAAAAGGAGAGCTCACCAAACACCGGGAAAGTTGGAGAGAGTCCTTACACCATGCTTCTCAGTACGAAACTCAGCAAAATATATATATATATATATATATATATATATATATATATATATATACTAGAATATGTAGCGGCTCCAGGTTGCAGACCGGCAGAGCCGGGACCCCAAGAGACTGGGCTGCTCCCGTCCGTGAGGGGATGCGGAGGCTGTAGACTTCCGTTTGAGAGTCTAGGAGTTCAGAGGTTTAGGGTTTAGGTGTTTAGGGTTTCGGGGTTTGGGGTTTGGAGGTTTAGGGTTGAGGTGTTTAGGGTTTAGAGGTTTGGGGTTTAGAGGTTTAGGGTTTAGGGGTTTAGGGTTTAGGGTTCCTACAACCTAGTTTGGGGGCAGGGTTTAAGATGGTTTAGGGGTTCAGGGTTTAGGGTTCCTAAAACCTAGACCCTACACCCTTTACAGTAAGCTTCCGTATTGCCCTCTGCGGTTCTCAGGTCGACCCAGTTTGGTGAGAGCTGAGGAAGGCAAGGCTCGCAGTGTCAGACAACACAGCAGTAAACTGGGGGCCTTAATGATTAGAAGGGGTGTAGGGTGTAGGGGAGTATACCATAATCACAAAAAGGAACCCCAGAATCACCTATACTATTTACTCTAACTATTCTCCCCGACAGTTGCAATTAGTCGGACATTTGCTTGTGCTTGCCTAAGTGAAAAATTGAATTGCTCGGAGTTAATTCCATGGCTGCAGGCTCTATCGGGCAAGCGCAGATTGCTCCGGCCTCAATTGCATGCCCACGCGATTGACTGGTTTGATTAAGCGGTCTCGTTCTATCGAGCGTGTTTGATTGATGTGCACTGTAAACTTTTGTCCTACCTGAATCAACACTTGCCGTTGCGGGCGGTGTCGCGGCCAGTCACCAGTTGGTGATGACACGAGCGCCTGCGTCAAGTTTGTCTTGTCCAGAGCTTCTGACAGGGCAAGACCACACACTGGGATGCCAAGAGCACACATCCAAGAAGGGGGACCGCCAGGTCACGAGCATAGCAGGATGTCACCACGCCTGAAACACAGTCCATGAGCACCCCAAGAGCCCGAGAGAACGTGGTGGCCACACGATCCAGACGACCATGTGTGAGAATGTGAAAGTGACATACGATATGCCGTTATGGCAGTTCAGCAGAAGAACAGCGCAGAAGCCGGTTGTGGGGGCTCACGGAAAGTTGTGTGAAGCACGATTTCCAAACAGAAACGAATTTTAGACCTGTGCTGAGCGGACACTTGGCAGTGCCACCTCCCGGCAGAGCACGATCCGCAAGGGCGAGGTGGTGAGACTACTGGCATGGTCAGCGCGCAGCACTCGAAAGCACTGATCCCCCAGCCACGAACCCTTTGATGCAAGTTCACGCGCATGCAGACACGCCCGGGGCCAGACATGTAGGTCTGAACAGGTGCATTGAAGATGTGCATCTCACAATCGGCTAACCGTCGATGATTGAGCCGGTCCAGATACACTCGACATGGGTTCACCTACGTTGCAGGTGAGTTTGGTGCCATTTCAAATGTTAGCTCTTGAGCGTCATCATGATACGTTCATGCACACATGTTCAAGATACACTGCAGTATCGTTCTCACTATTCGTCTTCTGGTCGCCACTGCGAACACCGGAGGAAGGCGGACTCCAAGACCTCGCTGGGGACTTGGGCCTTGACTTCATCTCGACTGCCGCCCAAAAGAAGGGGAAGGGCTCCGGCTTTCGATGTTTGTCTGGGACTCTTCGACAGTTGGGCCCCCTTTGAGTTCGGATAACAGAGTATGATAAGATGCAGTAGGACGCTGAAGAAGGTACTACACTTTGGCGGGGTGGGGAGGGGGGTCTTTACTGCATGACATGATGACCCTGAGACCCTAATCGCGAACAACCGTGCAGAGCTTCGCTTCGGTCTGCGGGATGCTTCAGTCAGGAGCGCTCCAGCTTAGGGGTCCTCCTCCGCTCGGCAGTGGTACGAAGGGTTTTTCCAAGTTCAAGACGTAAGGCTTTAGCAACAGTGTCAAGGTCAGCCCCGACAGCGACAGCGCTTCGCGGTGGGTAAGGCTTGTTGCAGAGCATCTAGAAGGTGCTCAAGCCGTTGGGCCACAGCAAATCGCAGTCGATCTGAATATAGGCGCACACATGGATGCCACGTAGAGACTCCAGGAGTTGATGTCCTGGAAACCAGATCGTGGGTTCCTGGTGCTTTCTTAAAAATTTTTCCGTATGAGTAACGCATGTGGGAGGTTCTCTGGTTCCCTTCTGAAAGTGACGCATTCTCGTGGGGTCCAAGAAGAGCCCCTAATGCAGAGAGCTACAGTATCCGCAACATGTCCGTTTGTTTATGACTTGCGTAAACGGCTGCAATTCCATCCTTCCAGAATCAGCGCCTCATAAGTCAGATTACTGGCGGGGTAGTGGTTAGTGCGTCATAAGCTGTAGGCTATAGCTAGGTAAGGGCCTCTAAGGCGGTCCTTATACCTGTTCGTTCGTGTGGCGAGGCAGACCAGCCCTTCGGATATCACCCCAAGGAGCCAGGTGAGACCTTTGAGCTCCGATCGTGTTCGGGAATTTCAGGCGTTCCGTAAGTTCAGGGTTGATCAAGAGGCTTCAGCCCGAAGCTTGAGGGATTCCGTGACCGGTCTCTCCCGGAGCGGCTTTTGGGGAGTGTCACCTGAACCGACGCCCTGGCACACGGATAACACGGTTAGCCGCCTCGTCCATGTTCAAGCTCCTGGTGACTCGAGTGAATGTGTGGGATGTCTCCTGGTAAAGGCTCAAGAATTCATGATGTGGAAGTCTTTGGTCACGAGGACAGGTCCATCCGAATGAGCCGCCTCGATGCCGTTCCGAGCTGAGTTCAGCTTTGTGCAACGGTATTGTCGTAAAGCATGCGGCTACATACTTTGGCAAGGTGAACCGGGGGGATTCGCTAAGTACTCGCCTCAGCGCTTGCAGAGGCGATGTCTGGCGTCTGCGATGTACTCAGCTGTGCTGTGAGGCACCATGAACCCTGCATTGCAGTCCCCGCAGACCTCCCCAACGACGGCTTCGCTAGCAGCTGTGGCAGCTGAGGTCCCGGTGCTTGAATCGGTGTGACCATTCCGTTGAGTCATCTGATTTGACTCGACTCGGGCAGCAGGACGAGTCCAAGCTCGACCAGGAACGGGCGCAGTGCAACATCGCCGTATGTGAGACCTGTTTTTTTCCAGGCGGCCTTTGAGGTCTTCGTCAAAGTGAAGTGGGAGGGTGAGAACCAGGCGCCGCCGTGCCACCGAAACCGAACTGAGGGCTTCTATGTCGGATTCATCCGGGGAGCGAGAAAAGGGTGTTAAACTGAACAGTTCAGCTTCTGTGGGCAAAGGGGAAGGCTCTGACCAACGGGATTGGTTCCATGGGTGCTGGCGACAGCACGAAAGCCTGAACCCGAAATATGGGATTTTGGGTCGTCTAGAGGTCCTTCAAGTCTTTTCCGTTCTCGGTGCCTTGAAAAGACCCGAAAGCCAGGCACCCGAAGCCTCCACACCTCCGGAGGTTCACCGCTCGTCTCTCCTCTCGGCTCTGGAACTCCTGGGCTTCGTTGCCCCCAAGCAGAGCTGGGCCGGGGTGCCCGGGAAAAGGAAAGGGGGCTTTCGAGGAGCCTGGGAGGCTGTGGCATCTGGGAAAACGTCTTTGCGCTTTGGGGTGGAGGTTTTGCCTGATGCAGAGGACCTGCAGAGCGGAGTGTTTGGTCTGGCGTCACGAAATCTGGGTAGAAAGGCAGAGTCAAGCAGAATGAAGCAAGCAGACACAGCCTTGTTCTTGAAGCGTCATGCCGCGTATGTGTAGGCACGAGGATGATAGTCTTGGGGTGGGTCCCCCCTCGTAGCAGCCTTGGGCGACTGAGGTCGATGAGATTTTTGAGGAGATCAGCCCGCAGTACAACCAGATAGAGTTTGACGTTCTGCCCTCAAGACATTTCATGGCCCATGGCAAGGCCAAAGAGTGTACTGCGCCTTCATCAGCTAGGTTGAATGTTGGGTTTACATGATGGCCCCGAGCACCCAACGAGGTGTTCAGAGACTTCATCAGGAAATACATCGCCTACCAAGACAAGGCTGTAGGGATTAGCAAATGAAGCCTGCTTGACAATTGAGAGCACTTAATTCTCGGAGGCCTATGAAGCAGCCTTCGCAAGATGCGACGGTGATGGTTCTGGCCTGGTGGAGGCAAGTGGGCGCATTCGCACGAGCGGAGAGAAACACGAAACGAAGTCTGGCCCATCAGAGGCTTCGGAAGTTGCTGTGCTTCTACGAGACTTTGACATTGAGCCGATGCCGCGCGCCCGGAGATCGTGTGCCGCGCACTCTGGTCGGACAGCACCTTCTGCTTCGAGAGCAGCAGACAGAGGCAGAAGCATAATCCACGGAAAGGCATCCGAGTAGGTGAGCTCTGCTGCCCGAGGACGCACGTCCTGCAAGAGGCTCGCAAGTTGTGTCCACAAAGTCCATAAGCACAGAGCAGAATCAGTAAGTTCAGCTCGGCTGAAATTTGAGCGACAGATTTCAAAAGTCGTGGCTGAAGCGGTGAGCAGGTGATTGATGAGGTGGACAAGGACCACGAAAGGCTGTGTCGAGTGCCTGAGGCTGTGCAACGATCTACTGATCTACTTGTTGAAGCGCAGCGGCGGTGCAGCAGCGGAAACTGCGAGATAGCTGTCAAAGGTCGAGTTGCCATCCAGTGTTGATTGGGTATCAGCCGTCGTATGTCTTGCACGGCTTTCCTTAGGGAGTCCCAAGCCCTGAACCTGACCCCCCCCCCCCCCGCATCGGACAGCCGGCTAAATCGCTCCAGGATCGCGGAGGAACCTTGGACCCTGACGAGTTTAAGGAGGCCCGCTTCCAAGGGCCTAAAGCTTCTAGCATTGGGCACTAAACAGATGTCATCAACCTTGGTACTCTGAGTACCATGAGCCTTGACAGATTCCCAAACTTCTCAATCCGGTAGAGTGGCGCTCGGCCATAACATGCATAGCCTGGCGGTTTCAGCGGGTGAAGGGCGAAACTTTGCGGTCCAACGAAACTTCGACTGCTACGGACCTCAACATGTGGTGGTCAGGGCCACGCAGAGAAAGAAAACGTCCTGCAACTCATCTCAACGAACCAATGGAACTAATTTAGGAAGTCTTACGTTGAGGCCCCCGCTTCCCCCACACTGGATCCGTATATTGACCGGATTGGAACCGAGAGCAGCAGTAGCAGTAGCGGTAGCAGTAGAAGCCGTAGCTGCAGTTTTGGTAACTAGTAGCTAGTGACGAGCAGAGAAAAGCAGCAGTCCTGGTCCTGGTCGGTCGCGGTACTGGTGATCGGTGATTATGTAGTGCCGCAGTGGTGCTGGTAGGGCAGTGCCGTAGTGGTGAGGTGGTGTAGTGAGCTTTTGGCCACCTGTTTTTTCAGGCTGTTTAGAGGTTCAGTACCGGTATGGGCGAGGGTTTCACAACTTCCCTTGAGGCACGATGTCAGTGCGTTTTTCATTTCCATGAATTGTCGGGCTTCAGCTCTTCACTCACATCCGAGGGCTGTTTCGCATGTGGCAAGGTTTCCTGGCCTTGAGCGAGGGTTTCAGAATTTATCTTGTTTTGCAGGTTACTCTTGCTTTAAACTTCGCGTCGGGGCTTCTGTGAAGGTGTTCAAGTTTGCCGAAGGGGTTGCTTGCCTTCATAGCTTGGAGAGGGGTAGTGGGGTGGGGGCTGGGGTGGGGCGTGGGTGGGCAAGAACTTGTGCTACAAAGCCATCCCAAGCTACATTTTCGACGCTCAGCAAATTGAGTTTAGATCTTGGAAAAGCATGGTTTTTCTCTCAAGACATGCACAGATCCGCATGATCATGGTGAAGGTCATGATCGACGATCATGCTGACAATGATCCTGATGCGATGAGTACCGCGATTGTTGCGGATGATGAGGCTGGTGATAATGATGGATGATGGTGGTGATGATGATGATGATGATGGATGATGCTGATGATGATGGTCAAGGTCATCACCATCAAAATCATCGCCGTCATCATTATCATCATGAGGTTAAGGCAGCGAGCGACTCACCAGCGAGATTCCGGATCCGCACCCGAACCGGCAAGAAGGAAGCCCCTCCCTGCAAGAAAGCCGATATGCCCCAGAGGGTCCACATGGCATGGGTTCCGATGGGCACGTGGACTTGTAGAGGGCCTGCATAGTAGACTTGATGCATCCTTGTGCTGCAGTTGATGGAACTACTGAAGCGCCGAGAAGGGTTCACTGCCAGCGAGTACGAGGTGCCACGTGGGCTGGGAGGGTTGCCTGGTGTCGCAATGTTTGTGTTCCAGCAGAGCCCATTCTTAGGACGAGACGACTTGGACTCTAGGATCGGGTTGGTGAAACCAGTGCCGCAGCATGTGCTTTGTGGTTATTTCTAAATGATGCTTAGATAGCTTGGTCAACCAAGTTTCTGAACAACTCTTGTCTGCACAAGCTCTATGACTTTAAGAAAGGATGCGGTCATCAAGGTAGACAGGTTTACAATTACAAGGTCAAGTGGACTCGTTTTGTAGATATTCAACCCTTTAACAGACGCTTAACACAGACGTACACGCGAAGTACACGGCAGGTAGCCCGTTGTTGGTGGCAATAGTGACCAACAAGACTAACCCCGCAGCAACACTGTCAGTTCGCCCAAGACAAGTTCACGAACCACACCTAAGGTTACTTACTTCAGAAGGGCTATGTTCGACGCCCATAAGTCCGGAAAGTAGTGTGCTTCCACGTTCAACTTCGGGTGTTCTGCAAAGTGCTTAATGCCACTCGTCACCGCAAGAACAGCACCGCCGGGCTGTGAGGAGGGATCAGGTACAGCAGCCGCATGTTCGAAGGAAGCCAGGCATCGTGCTTTTAAAAACTTGCTCAGGGAGCCACAAGTTCGCATACAAAGGTGCTGACGAAAGAGTAGCCGACTATCATCGTAGCCACCACCATATGCAGACGGACGACTCATGAGGCGAGTGAGCCTGTGCTGCAGGCATGCCTGTCTGCCTGTCCCCTAAAGCAGCAAGGAATGATCATTCAAAGGCATACGGTCTCCAAAGTGGCGTTTAGATAGATCCCTCTCAGCCCTGTTCTTGACGAGCGATGCCCTTCATGTCAAAATGACACTTAAAGGATTTTCCCAAGCGTCGTGGTCGATTCAGGCATTTTGCTATCAAAGCAGGCGAAGTTCTGAAGGAACAGAGGGCGCCGGGAACAAGCCAGCTTGTTGTCCCACGCCCAGCACGAGCAGCAAACCAGGGCGCCTCCTGCGCAACGCGGCATAGATCGCCATTCCGGCTCTGGCTGCCAGAAAACCCAAGACAAATCCCCGGACAGGAAGAGACTCGACTTGCCTTTGCTGCTTCATGACCCGCCATGAACATGGACCTCGATGAGCCTAGCAGTGTCGGGGCCTATTCGAGCTGATTCAAGCCCTGATGTTGAAGCATGGTGTTAAGACCAAGCGGTATGCCGATTCACATGAACACGAAAGGCGTGATGCATGCCAATGAGCTGTACAGTGGAGTGCAAGGCTGTCGCAGATTCCTTTCAACTTTCCTGCATTTCCCTGCACCCTATCGCCTCACTCGGGCACCAAGTGCTATGCCATTGCTGAGCATTATGCGAACGGAGACTGGCCGACTGCGACAATCCACACCAAATCGAAACGCGGCCCAGTGTCTTCATTTTTTACATCACAAACGTGCTTTATGGATTAAGGCACGAGAGATGAGCATGAAAGCGAGTCGTGTCGAGCGTCGTGGGATGGATCCAGTTCAGACATTTTTCGAGGAGCTTGCGATGTTCTTCTACATCAGACATGTTGTAATTTCAGCTGCTGCAGGAAGCCTAGATGCATAGCAGGCCAAAGTAGAATGAACTTTGGCAGGGGGTTCGATGCCCGAATCCTTAAACCATAGTGTCTTGAACTACCCTTAGCCCTGAACCCCCAAACGCTCTTGAAACCCCAAACCCTAAACGGCACAGGGCCCTCAGCTCAAAACTGCTCCAGGAATTCGTTGGCATCTTTGACCGCCACGGCCACGACGGGACCAATCTGCTGGACAGCAAGGTCTGGCCCTTGGAATTAGAGTTTAAGATTTCGGGATTCAAGGTTTTAGGGTTCAAGGGTTGTAGGGTTTTCGGGTTTTAGGGTTGAGGGTTTAAGGATAGATGCGCTGACGAGAAGGTATTCGAGTCGACAGGAATACAGGATTGAATACAAGAAGCATGCAAGACTAATTATGGTGGTCAGGTATATATGGGAGTCAGGAAGGGTACAAGTACAGAGCAAGGTGCCAGATCGTGTCACTGGCACCCTCATTATCCTTCTTGGGCTGTTTGATTAGTGTCATTTTCGTGATGGCCAAGAAAGGAGCAACAATCATACTCATCAGAATAGCGCGCAGTGCCGAGAATAAGAATCATCGGCATGGCAACAACGATAGTTATGTTTGAGCGGCAATGACCGTCAATGCCACATGATAGTCAAACGTAGGTTAGGCTTCGGTAATGCCAGAGTTTGCCAGTGTGGTAGAAACGCGGATTCTTACGTGATGACTAAGGCGAATTGCTGCACAAAAGGCTACCGTGCACCGCTCCCGCTATGGTGCGGCGCAAACTAGGGCAGCTCTCCCTATCGCGGTGCATACTTTTCACTCAATCCCCTCTGAACCCTAAACCCGTAACCACTGAACCCGTACCTCTAAACCCCGAATCCGTAAAACCTAAATCCTGAACTTTCAACCCTACCCGTAACCCTAAACCCCAAACCCTAAACCCCTCAACTTTAACCACAACCCCCTAAACCCTAAACCATAAGCCCCAAACCCTGTCACCGAAGATTTCAGGAGTTCCAGACCATCTTGAACTGGCTGGGCTTCTGCTGGCCTGTCGAAAGGACGCAGAAAACGGGGGTGCCAAGAAACCCGCTAACTGTTTGGGTTTTGGGTGTTCAGGGTTTAGGGTTTAGAGTTTCGGGGTTTAGGGTTTATGGGTTTAGAGTTTAGGGGTTTATAGGGTTTAGGGTTTATTGGTTAGGGTTTTAGGGTTTAGGTTAGGGTCTGGTGCTCATGATGGAGAACCACAGCACGAATGACTTTTGTGTCCGTGTGGTGGTTTTTGCTACGGTTCTACTTATGATGATGATGGTTCTGATTCTGATGACGTCGGAGATTACGGTTTCCAATCTTCTCTGAAACCTACCTCCGGAAAGGACGCAGAGGATCCTGGACCAGGTCGGAAGACTTCTGAATGCTTGTGATTCAGTGCTTTGTTTCGGTTTAGAGGTCAATGACGCCCACTAGCAAGCCCAGCGACTGCTCTGACAGCCCTAACATGGGGTCATCATGACACTACGAAGCAGTGGCACGCCACATAAGCAGCAGTGTGGAGGCAGCCGCGCCGCCGTTCGGTTGGAGTAGAGTGCCTGCCCTAACCCCTAACCCGTAACCCCTAACCCCTAACCCCTAACCCCTAACCCTAACCCCTAAACCCCTAAACCCTGGACATGGCCGAAGAAGAAGAACTCCTAAACCCTAAACCTCCGCAGCGAAGGTGGATCATGACAAGGCCAAGGGCAAGCTCAACCAGCGCCAGTACCTGCAGTGCATGCGCCGCGTGCGGGAGTCCGAGCTTGAGGCCGGGCTTTTCAACGCAGGGGGTAGGTTTTTTCCCGGCATTTCAAGTAGAACATGATATTTGATATGCTACAATATAGCATGGTATAGTTAGCACAATGCAGTATAGCATACTCTAACATAGTTGAACACGGTATAACATAGTGTGACATAACATAATGTAATGTAACGTAATACGTGGTAAAATATGTCTTTGCGGCAGCAAGCCTGAGCAAGTAGTCCTTGGCACCTGGGCCTTTCACCTGCCTGGTCAGCTCCTCCAGAAGCTGATCAAGGAGAACGATGCAGACCATTCCGGGACCATCAATATGATGGAGGTCGGGTTTTTCCTGCGAAAACGTGTCGGCCTGCTCAATGTCTCATCGAAAACCTGTGTGCCGCATCATTTTGGCTGGCGTTCAGGTGGTGCCTGTCTTGAAGGATCTTGGCTACGTGCTGTCCTCGGCTTGTGCCAGACCAGAAAGTCCCGATGGCAAACAGCTACATTCCCTGTGTCGCAGGAGATGTGGGACATCTCGGCCATCCACGAGGCCGGAGAGAAATCCAGCAGTTCTCAAGCAGCATGTGACATTCGCGGGTGTCAGGCTGCCGAAGAATGTGGCGTCGCAGCCGTCGAGTCGCAGCCTCATCTGTTGACGTCTTGCAGCCCAATCCAGCCCTTTGAGTTGAAGACCCATCCTCCTCTAACATGAATGCAAGCAGGACTTGACACAGGACTCCGGCCGCACTGCCTGGAGATCTGAGAGCTATACCTTTAATACACCATTGTTATGGTGGTCGCTCCCTCTTGGAGGCTAGGCATCGCCGACAACTTTCCCGATTCCCCATCGTAGTCTCAGTGCCATTCTCCAGCCCCGATTCGAGGAAACTGCAATGACCGCAGCGCTAAACCCCTAGGCGGCTTCCCTGGCATTTGGAGCTCAAAACCACCGTTCCAACCCCAAACCTCAATCTCAGATCTCAAACAACCTCCAGAGCCTCAAAGCCAAATCCTGAACCAAGGATGGATTTAAGTGCTATGTGGCGGCTGCTGCTCACGTATCGCCAGCGAGAGGCAGGGCTCGAGTCACAGCGGTGTTTAGTTGGGAGAGAGCTACTTAGCAGCAGTAGCGGTCTTAACAGCCTCATCGGGCGGTAGTTGCTAACACGGAGTACACATGGCAATCAGAGCCTCCCCTCTTCACGTCCCCTTTTCACATCGCGCTCTGACTGCGACCGCGCAAAGAACCGACCACAACGGCCACCCATTCCGGATGGCAAACGTGGCCCTCGCATTCTTCGCCAATCCACGTCATGGGGACTACAGTCCGCAAGCAGGAAAGGCCCTGCAGGCCAAGAGGAAAACCATGTCCGTGCGACCGTTGGTCTTGCAGAGGTCCTGTCTGCACATGGATGCCGCATGCGTAATGTCACAATGCAGACAGAGTTTGTTCCGCCATGTGTCAGCTGGCAGAACAAAGGGAGAATCCTAGACCTGATCAGTGTCCGGGCTTGGGCCTCCAATCCAGCCAGGACTAGAACCCTACATTCCTTCAACCCGGAGAGCCCGGAGGCATTGAAGTGTTTTCGAGGAAATCATCAGGGTCGCAAGAGGTAGGTGTACTGTATATTCCCAACTTATGACAGGGGTTTATCCAGCCCTACTGTCGGAATGCTAAGCTTTACTTGGCGACCTAAATCTTGATTTGGTGGGACAGGCTTGCACGCAAGAACGTAAGCACGCTGCGAATTACAGCAGGAGCCATAGCAAAGAATTGGAGAGCCGCGATGGGAGGGGGGGGGGGTGTTTATGTCGCCCAAGTCCACGGTGAAGGATCAGAACCGGCAGATTTTGGCAAGTAGTCCTGCGGATTCCAGCCTGGCCGTGGCCTGAAGGTCATTGCAGGTTCTTAGCAGAATGAATCGACGTCTTGCCTGATGCATGTCTGATAACTAAAAGATATCGCCAGTTGCAAGAACCCGCAGGCCACTTCTCAGCCACCGCAGTTTGTGGATAGCTGTCTCGAATGTGTCTCGACATGTCTCGATCCGTTAATCCGAAGAGCGCCGACATGCGATTTACTCGCGGCTGGGATTTCGTTAGCCATTCTGTGCTAAAGGACTGAAATTGCAGCAACAGAGGTGCCCCGTTTTGCGCTGCGACGGTTTTCCGCTGCACGCATTTGCTCATGGTGAGGGCTTCTGCAACATCGACCTGGAGCAAATTGACGCCTCGTTCCACAAGCAAGACAAGGACCTGCCGGGGAAGGGCCCAGGGCTTGCGTCTCACGGAGCCTCGCACAAGGCCCCGAGTCTGAAGTCCCAGGAGTCCCAGCCCAAAAGGCGCCTAAGTGTCTGATCTTGGTGCATCCTCGGGTTCCTGGCGGAAGGACGACGCCGGCCACCTCCCTGCTCTGGAGGTGGCGAGGACATGGAGGTGACGACTGAAGGCTGTCGTGTAGTTTGCGCAGGCGACGCGGGCTTTGCGAGAGCTGGGCTTTACGGCGGGCTTCCACGTCATGCACAGCGTGCTCAACAAGGCCAGGCTTGCCGAGAGGTTCGTGGCTATTTGTCTGTATGTCCCTCAGCTGGTATCATGATGAGAATCTTAGAGTGAACCACATCCAAGACAAACGATCCCAGCAAAGTGACGTCTTGCCGCGAGAGACTTCGAACCCAACTGGGCACTGGCAGGTGGATGTGGACGACACCGGCACTCTTGACAAGCCATTGTCCCAGAATGGCTGCGCAACGCGGCAAAGGTTGGAATGTAGACACCATGTAGAAATCCAAGATGCGTGCCAGTTTCCACGAGGTGCCTGACATTCTGTGCAGCTGTTTAGTCACCAAGCCCCAATCGATAATCTTGAGCTGCGAAGCCTTAGCCCGGCGTTCGAGACGAGTGCTCGAGGGCCAGTGGCGGGCCACTTGCCGGCACTTAGTCGCAGACGGTTCCGACATGTCCTCCACCTGTTTTCCATCCACACAGCAATGAAGCTCTGAGTTGAAAGGCAGTATTGGAGCCTACTTGTAGCAGTGAACCGCCGGTCCTTCGTGTCCATGGCTTTGCAAGCATCGTGCTCCTCCTTGCACAAGCAGTGTGCCTTAAGCCTTAAGCCATGAATTCCTTACTCCTACCGCCCTCTCCCGGAACCCAAATTGCCAAAATTACTCTTCGCATGCGTGGGACCAGCCCTACTTGGAGGTTCATGGGACTTAGTAAGTACAGTTTTAAGTACCTTAACTGGGGTTATAAGTAATTATAAGTATAGTTACCCTATTTATAACCCTAGTTACTAAGTCCCATGAACCTTCAAGTACAGGCCATGGCGGAAGGCCTGGCTCCTGTGGCCTACGCGGTGCCCACACAGCTGGACCGGCTTTGGAAAAGGGACTGCGCCGACATCACAGCGGATGCTAATGGCAATTGCTATGATTACACAGCTTCCGTGGAGTTCGATGGGATGACAGCTAGTTATACCGAGCTTCAACTCCTTTGCCCTTTTGCTAACTCCTTTGAAAGGCCAAATTCGAGCAGTGAGCAATCTCTTTCGCGCCCATGCAACGTCCTAGAGGGCCACCCGGTCGAAACTCGAAAAGACTTCGGCGTCAGGTCATGTCATCTCATCTCGTCTTGGGATCTGTTGTGGAGTCGTAAGTAATGGACGAGCGAGCATTCCGACGCAGTCAGATGTTGTTCGTACGGACAGGGTGCTTGAGGGCCGCGCTCACCTTCGCTTCACCGTTTGCTCGTCCAAATGGTGGAAGAGGCATGAAGCTTGTCATCGGAAACAACTAGCAACCAGTGCTTCCCTGCTCCACCACTCGGTCGTCGGTCGTCCCAGACGGGCTGACACCAACACGCAGGCAAACAGGCACGCACGCAGGCACGCGCATTTGCAGGTCCTATGGTCGCCAACCCGCATGAGAGAGCATGCATCAGTTCGGAAGCATGGCACGATGCTTTTCCACGACAGGCAGATGAATGCCCGGGCTCGAGGTTTCCTGTGCCTATACCCTTCCTGCTCGCCGTTTGAGGAGTCTGAGGCGCCCTCGGGCAAGGAGTCGGAGCCGGCAGCAGCAGGTCCGCGGCAGCCTGGCGCACGGCTGCTCTTGCGCCTTCACCTGATTTTCAGTCTTTCCTTGCAACGTACTACGAGAAACATGAGCTTATCTGTGACGGCTGCAGAACACTGCTGGGGAGTAAAGGAGATCCTTGTGGTCATGCTCTCAGGGTCAACTTTCATAAAACGTCTCCGTACATTACAGTATGCTTTGGGCAGACGGGGTAAACATTGCACACGAACGGGGTTTCTTCGCCTTTTTGCAAATCCCTCTCCCGGTGATGATCGCATTTACTGTACTCGAAATGCGTAATGCTTGTGTCTGCACTTCATTGAGGCAGATAGTGAGGTCGCCTCCCCCCTCGCTCTCTGTCTTTCCGCGTCTCTCTCCGTTTCGGTTCTTCTCTCTCCTGTCTGGGTCTCGGTCTCGGTCTCGCTCTCGCTCTCGCTCTCGCTCTCGCTCTCGCTCTCGCTCTCTCGCTCGCTCTCGCTCTCTCTCTCTCTCTCTCTCTCTCTCTCTCTCTCTCTCTCGCTCTCTCGCTCTCTCGCTCTCGCTCTCTCTCGCTCGCTCGCTCGCTCGCTCGCTCTCTGTCTCTCTCGCTCTCTCTCATTCATATACGTTCGTGTTCGTGTGCGTGTTTTTTTTTCTTTGTGTGTGTGTAGTTGCGTATACAGATTAGATAGAGGGCGTGTATTCATGCAAAGCTATATCATGTATATAAAAATACACACACACACACACACACACACACACACACACACACACACACATACACACGCGTATAATTTACGCTCGAGGATAAGAGAGTCGGCAGAGGTCAAAGATTAGGGAGTTCATCGCGTGTTGCTCTAGTCCAAGGTGCCTATGCTTGGCCTCTGCGATCGAAGGTGAGTTGGAGCTGGAGGGTTTTGTCGTTGTTGTTAGTCGGCATGTCTAGACAGTATACTGCAAACCTGTCAGGTATTGATTCTCAGCTGGTGCCTGCTTGCATGTTCCAGCTTCAGAAGAACATCATGACCCTGACAGACGTTGTGGCGCAGCTGCGGTACGTAAGCTGGAAGTTGTAGGAATCAACGGACTATTCGAGTGATCTGAATTAGGGAGATGGACGAAGTCAACTCTTCTTCCCTCGCCCTATAAACCCTGTAACCCCTATAACACCTATAAAACCTATAAACCCTATGTCTATAAACCCTATAAGCCCCAAACCCTACAAACCCATCACGAGTGCCAGCGCTCATTATTAGGTTCCTTCGGCCTCTGCTCAGGCGATCCTGAACACCGTCCAAATGGTGCTCACAAACTTGGCCGCCCCTTTCTGGGGCATCCTTGCAGATAGAGGTGCCTCGGAGGATCCCTAAACCCTAAACCCCTAAACTCTCGCCGGAGGATTGCAGCACTCTCTCCCACCCCTGTGAGTGGGCCATGAAGCGCACAGAGTAGAAGGAGTGGGAGCTTGCGAGGCCACACACTGGAGCTAGTTGCCTCTGACAGTTGAAATTCCAGCAAAGGTACTTTGAAGAGAAAGCACATTATACTTTTGGGTGCTCTCGGAGAAGGCTTAGCAGCCGCTTGGCCGCGACGCTGACGCGTTCCGACCCATGGCAAGGTTTCTCGGTGCGATGATGTGTTTTGGGGAGCCAAAGCGAAATCGAGGCTGGTTTTATGTCCATGGTGCCCAACTTTGTGGTCATGGTGATCTTGCGGGGCATGAGCGGCTTCTTCCTCGCCTCCCTTAGGCAAGAACTGGCGAGAAAGCTGCAAGCACTGACCAAACAGCCATCCTCGGAATACCAGGGCATGTCAGGGAGCACGTTTTGTTTTAGGTCTACAGGTTCCCCCAAACTTGGACTCCGGCCGTTGGGAGCACGCAGCTTCAAGAGGCCCGTCGTGAACGGCATCATCGCAGACATGACGTCGGATGAACGGCGTGGAAAGATGTTTTCCCTGGTGCAGAGCTCCCTGCTTGTTGGTATGTGCTGCACCACACTGTACCTTGGCACATCTTGGCCATTTGGCAAAGACTCCTTGCATCTCCCCGCCTTTCAGAGTAGCGAGTTCAGATTCGCCATGAAGATTCGGCGCGTCAGGGAGCTTTAACCTTGCTACTGAGCGATCGGAGTCTTCGACATTTTGCAAAGAACGAATGCTTCAACGGGACTCTAGTCCTGCCGTGTTTCCTAAGCACATTCATCATCTTCACTTCATGTGGTTTGCGTTTGCGGAATGTCCGGAGTCTGAAACTTCTCAAGTGGGCTTCTGTCGATGCTCTGCCCATGGCAACATGACAGGTTGGTTTCAAGGTGTTATAGCTGCAATGCACCTGTCTGCGAAGAACCACGGTTTGGAGGAATTAGCTTTGAAAAGTGCTGCAGATAAGGATAGCCGGCAACGTGGCCAACATCAGCTTGGGCAGCATGCCTGGATGGCGCTTTGTCTTCTTGCTTGCAGGATGCACTGCTGCATGCATCGGCGTGCTGGTGTGCATGCTCATGGTGCCTCGACAAATTCAGTAGGAACCCAAAAAAGCTTGTGTGCACACAGGGCTTTCTAGCTGGTCGTGACATCTGTGAAGGCGCATGAAGCGTAAAACTGTGTAGGACTGTAAGAACCGCAACCACTTAATATAATATAATATAAGATGATATAATATAATATAATATTATTCTTTCTGCCAACCTTCGGCTCCCGAAGGTGGAGCCGCCCAAGCAGCTGGACGAGTCGGCGGACAAGAAGGGCTGCCAGGCCGTGGGAGAGGAGCTGCACGCGCTGTTTGGTTTCCTCTGCATCCCCACTTTCTGCATCATGGTTGTGAACCTCGGCTCTGAGATGGTGATCCAAGAAGGGTTCAAAAGGGTTTCGGGAAGCAGAACGCGCCGGGCAGCTGAGGCAGGGAATATTTGGCACGATTCCGTGGACGGCTACCTTCTTGCAGCTTTCAAGGTCTAACTCTGAGATCCCAGGCGTCGGCATATGATGGAAGCTTAGGTTATGGGCAACAACTTGCTCTTCTTCAAGCTTTCTGGGCTCGAGGACTGGCAAGGATCCATCCTGGCATCCGAGGGCGCGGGTCCCAGGCCGAATCCGGCTACTAAGAGGGCCTGAGACCTCAGAGCTCGAGCCTGAACCCTCGCATAGCCATCACTATAGTGGTAGTAATAACAGTAGAAATAGGAGCTCACGCATCCCCCACCCCCCGTGATCCAGACGTGCCTGCTTGTCGTAAGCAGTGGATCATGGGAGGTGGGCAACCTCCGATGCGAAAACATCGACAGGGGTCAAATTTCCACAAAAATTCCTGAAGCCTGAAATGCGCAAACATTGGCAGGGATCAAATTTCGCCAAATGTCCCCAAATCTGAGCAGCTATGACCCCCGCACTCTCCAAAGATGCCAGCATTTTAGGAATTTTGGCGACATTTGATCCCTGCCAATGTTTTCGCATTTCAGGCTTCAGAAACTTTGTGGAAATTTGATCCCTGTCGATGTTTTCGCATCCGAGGTTGCAGAAATGCCGCCAGGCTCAAAAAACACTAATGATATTCAATGCGAACGGACTGCGATGCCTTGTCAAGTTCTAAGGTGTCACTATAAGAGCTGTGAGCAAGACCGTGTAAAGTGCAAGAGAAGGGGGCACGCTACGCGTCCCTCGACTCTAGGGGGCATGCTACGCATCCCTCGTCTTTACCTTTCTATGTGACCGCCAACGCAACGTTTGGCTCAAGTCAATGCCCATAGCTAAGTGCTATATGTGTCTTCTATCCTGAGCAATCAGAGCTGTCCCGTTGCACAGACGAACCGCCGCCGGCAGTGAGTGCAAAAGGAACGGCCGCCGGTTCTGCCTGCATAGGATCGCACGTGTGGGAGTAAGAGGGAGAGACAGGGTCCAGTCTGTGGAGAGTGCTAGCCAGCCACACCTACATTCATTACAGCTCTGGTGGGGAGAGCAGCAACCAAGTCGAGATCAATCCCCCACGCAGGTTATCAGCCGTACGCGGCTCTGCCTTTCTACAGCAACGACTACTTGATCTACTACGACCACAATGAACTCAGGATCAAGTCAAGATACGACAATGACTTTCGGTGCCGATGTGGCAGCGCCAGCCGTTGGTGAGTCAACAGCTGATGACACAGTGGTGCAATCCGTTGATAGCTCCACGGAAGATGACAAAGGTCAATCTTCTGCGCTTGCCATTGCAAAGGCAGTTCCCAAGGGGAAAGCAAAGAGTCTACCAAGAGCATCTACGCCTTCACGTCCGACATCCACAGGTTCGAGGACGGGCAAGGCTTCAGAACGACGGGCCGAAGCGTCTGGTTTTCAGGCACCTCGGACTACGTCCAGGGCTAAGGACAAAGGAGTCAAGACCTTGGAGAAGAAGTCAAGACCATCATCTTCGAGAAGCTCTTCAGCACGATCTAGGACTTCGGCTACCCGTGGGCGTGACAAGTCCATGACTTGGAATCGGATGGTTACCAATCAACCACGCGATACTGACGATCTGGACATGACTCTGGATACGATTCCTGCACGTGGTGATGCGTCATCCGTTGCCACGCCTGCAATAGCTGACGGTCCGAATGCCTACCAGGAGCTGACGATTTCGCAACAGTTCGAAGCATCGAACCTTGCACAGCAGATGTACTATCGCAGTCAGGTGCAAGAATACGAAGGAATCGTCCAGACCCTGATGGACAAGATCAAGGAGATGCAGCAAGAAGACGAAGGATCTGGAATTCGCATTGAAGAATTGGAACGACAACGTGATCATGCATGCTTAGCCATGAGGCACATCAACAATGTCAATCAGGAGATGAAGCGAGACTATGAAACAGCTTTGTTTCGCATGGATGAGCAGAACTCTGCTCAACAACGTCAAGCACATGCCGTTGCCGAGGATTTAGCTCAACAGCTACACGTGTTCCGCACGGAGGCAGCCACCAACTTCGTGCAGTTGGAGGCAAGAGCGCAAGGTGATGGCGAGCTTATGGCACGCGAGTATGAGCGTCTGACTCATGAACTTCATGAACACGCCAGAGAGAACTTGGTCCTCCGGTCAAACACAGCAAGTTCGGAACAAGCCTTACAAGCAATGCAGGAACGATTCCACTTGGTCAAGAACCAGGAGTTGCGGGCTGTGAACGAGATCCAAGGGCTAGCTGGAAACAGCGCAGCCATTGAACAAGAACGATTTCGGCTTCGCGAACGTCTTGGTGAAGAGGAAGAGTACCGCAAAATGGCTGTGAAGAGGATGCAAGAAGCAGAGGAACGACTTCATCAGAATGAAGATCATGCAAGGCGATCATTGCCTACCTTGCACGACGAGCTGAGTGAACTCAGGAAAACGCTCAAAGCACAAGAAGATCTTCAAGCGAGGACACGCAGTGAATTGGAGGCAGCACGAAACTCCAATCAAGGAGGAGCGACGCGACCTTCGAGCATGCCCATGTCTTCGAGGACTACTGAGTCTGGCTGGGAGCACGTAGGAAAGGATGTAATGCCTGCATTTTCCGTAGGAGATGAGGTACGATCCCCTGAAATACGGTCCCCAAGTCAAGTTAGTCCAGTCGCCAAAGAGAAGTTCGCATTCTCGGAATCGGACAAGGACAAGAACCTTGTGATGGACGGAATTACATTTACCGGTGGAAACTTTTTCACTGGCCGCAGTTCAATGCCAATCGTGGCGGATGCAATGCCCGAGCACCACGTGCCAGGTATTAGCAGCCCAGCGCTTGCGCGTTCCACGCCTAGTGCAGCCACTTTGTTTGGCATACCAAGCGGATTTCATGGGAAAAGTGATGCGGCAGCCGTGCGTGATCGACAGCTACGTGAACTCTTGGGGGATCGCGGGATGTTGGGATCGAAGTCCACAGCATCGGCCAGCTCCTCAAGACCTGTTGGCATCGACGGTGTCACCGCATCTACTAAGGGCAACGACCTCATTGGTCCCCCTGTCGCCTATGACGATTCCATCCATGAGGCAAGGAGGCGTCAGATCGAGAAAGAGATCGCGGAACAGTACGAGGAGAAGATTGCTGATCTGCGAAGTGAAGTACTCAAGGCTCAGAAAGCCGAACAACGTCTCAGAGCTGATCGTGATGAGTGGAGATTATTCGCTGAAACGATTCAAGAAAACAATGGAGACGATGACGGCGATGAAGCTGGCGACGAGAACGGAGAGGAAGAGCATGATGAAGGTACCGGCACGGGGTATGATCCTCCAGATCCGCCTGACGACGATGATGACAAGAAGAAAGGTGGAGGGGGCAAACCCGAATCGGATCCTGGTTCGCATGCGCGTGATCCTGATGGAGATGCGGATCCTGAAGTCACAGAGGTGAGAATTTCCAGGAGGGAAGCCGACAAAGTGACCGTTCCTCCATGGCCTACTCTCACTCATCTCAACAACTGGCGATCTGTGTGCACGGCAAATGTCTTAGGGGCATCAGCCGACCCACATCATGAGGACTGGATGTTATGGCTGGCACCAGCGTTCAACCCATTCCCTGATGTCGAAGCATTGAATGATTCAGGACACAAGAAGTTCAAGAGCATCGACGTCAAATTGGGGATCGCCATGGTTGCAATGCTACGTGCCGGTGGTGACAAATCAGCTGACCTGTACCTCGAGGTGAACCGGAAGGCCAACGATTACATCAGCAGGCCTGACGTGAAGATCATCAAAGGACGACAAGTCATCGCTATGATGTACGAAAGTTTTCGAACGCATGATCGTCTTGACATGATCATCACTCTTGAGTATTTGGTGAAGCTCCAGTACCAAGGCGACAACAAGCTCCATACGTTCAAGCAGACGTGGTTGGAAGTTCTGGGACGGATGAGACCAGAGGACATTCCATCCAAAACAGCTCTCCGTGATTGCTTGTACAGCAAGATCAAGGACTCGCCCGCAATGAAGATGGAGTTGGGCATGCATTACGAACACTTGCCCTACAATCATGAAGACCGATCGTACGACAACCTGATGAAGATCATTGATCGTACCATCATGCGGAAACGAGAACAGTCAAATCTCACTCAGACTCAAATTGGCTTGCGCCAGATGCTTGAGGGCAAGGATTTGCTTGCTGCACCGGCCAAGGTACCCGAGAAACCTACGCCTAACGCAGCTCCATCCGCAAAGGTCAAGGCTTCGCCGACCAAGCCGGACAAAGCAACACCTGTACTACCTCAAAGCAAAGCGAAGAGTCATGCGAAGACCAAGCCGAAGCCCAAGAAGAAGACGAGGAGTGAGTCAGCGGACAACAGAGGTGACAAAAGCAAGAAGCAAATCCGCTGCAAGTTCCATTTCACAGATGCAGGGTGTCGAAATGGCGATAAGTGTCCATTCAGTCACTCGAAGAAGACTCCAGAGCGACCCTTCACGCCGAGGACGAGAACTCCAAGTCCATCTGGAGGAGGAGGAAACAGGATATGCTACTCGTTCAAGAACACAGGCTCGTGCTCAAGAGAGAATTGTCCTTTCAAGCATGAGGCAGCAGCTACCCCAGCCCCGGAACCAAAGGCAAAAGCTAAAGCCAAATCCGAAGCGAAGGCAGCTCCAGCGAAGCCGAATGCCAAGGCCAAGGCACTCCCTGCTGCACCCGCCATCAGATTGTGTCGAAGGTGGAATCCATCAGCTCCGGCTATATGGAAGCGATCTTCAAAACAAGATGAGGAGGAGTCAGATTGTCCATCCGTTGACAGCGACGCTGATTCGGATTGTTCAACAGATGACGAATCCTCGGGAACGACTACGTCGACCCGAAAAGTGACAAAGCGCAATGTGACATTTGCCAATGACGTGAAGTTCATTTCTTCGTGTCCGAGACGATCGAAGAAAGACAAAGAGCGGAAGGTGAAGTACGTCGACATGGAAGCGTTTGTCAATGATGAGGATCGCGCCGTGAGCTTGGAATTCGCCAAGCACAAAGCGAGATTGAGGGCACAGATCATGAGGGACATGGTTGACGACGATGATGATCAATGCGGAGATCGAGTTTCATTCGTACGAATCCCAGGAACGTCTCGAGTGGAAGAAGTTTCGTTCTACGACGGTGAGGATTCCATCGTTGAGCGCGAACTCGATGCTGCACACAGCAAACGGA